GTAATTTGGGAACATACCAGAGCTCAAATGAAGGGATTTACCAATTAAAATATTTGAAAAATAGGCTTAGAATTTCCACTCAGTTTCCATAGCAAAATTAGCAAAATTGTCTAAAATGAACATCACAATATCAATGCGTAACATTCTTTTATATATGATATCAAAAATAACATGTTTATTTCAAGTTCAATGTTTTTTAACAACGGAAACCCCAATGGCTTTGAAAAGATTGCTGTTTTTGATGAAAATGTGATTGATGACGTCATAATTGATATGCAAATGAGCAAATTAACATAATTTATGCATGCGATGAAAGGTACTCTGATTCCGCTTCATTTGGTACCAATAAAGTTTAAAATGATCAAGCAACAAGAAAGTTACATGCAAAAAGGAATTTACCACTAAAAACACTTGAAAAGTGGGCGTTGTCTTTCTGTCCCGTTTCCATAGCAATGTCAGCAAATTTGACCATAGTAAATATCTAAATATTAATGCTAACAATCTCCTCTACAGTATTAAATATGATTTCACATTTTACTCCAATTAGATGGGCCTCAAACACAGAAAATCCAGATGGGTTTGAACATATTGCTATTTATTAACGAAAATATGATTGATGACGTCATAATTAATATGCAAATGAGCTATTTAACATAATTTATGCATTTTATGAGAAAAATTCTTATTCCGCTTCTTCTGATACCAATTAAGGTAAGATAGGTCAGGAAACAAAAAAGTTTCAATCCGAAATGCATGAAGCACTTATTGAGAGATTTGAAAAGTGGGCGTTGATTTTGCGTCCCGTTTCCATAGCAACCGAGGCACATTTGGAAGAAATTAATATCAGATCCTTAAAGATGAAGTCTCTAGCTTTAATTTGGTATATAATTTGTCTTCATACCTCTCGAGACTTTAAATTCCTTATTTTTTCATAGTTCCTACTCGCCTATATATTTTGATCCCTAGAACGATCAGAACGCATCAGAATCGTCCAGAATGCGCTAAAAAGCCTAAAAATTCAAATCATTTATTTTGAGAATCGCCCAGAACGCAATAAGTTAGCCCAAAACTCCTAAATTTTCCAGGGGAGCATGCCCTCTGGCTATATCACTCACAAGCTATTATTTTACAGGCCATGATAATTTGGCTCGAATTTTTTTCCGTCTAAATTAACGAACTAGTCATTTTTAACAACATTAGGGAATTACTTGGCATTTTTCAAAATTTGAGCCCTTATTTTCTTCTGAACAAGCGCGGAAATTTTTAGGTCCCCTCCCTTGTTTTCGTGGCCACTCCTGGTGTCTTGTTAATAACACCCTTGTGGTCCGAGCCCCCCCCCCCCCTAACCAAAACCTGGCTACGGGCATGGACTTACCTGCACATGTTATTTTCTGTACCCTGCGTTCAGAGTCTAGTTAAACTACAAGACGAAGACGAAGCTCTCTTTTATGAAGTGAAGTTAAACGAATGCAAAGGGTATATTTTCTGGTACAAATAAAGTATGAAGGCATCTGTCAATTTCCTTGCTTTTTTCAGGAAAGTATCATTACATTGTCTTCTTTTAGAATATCTGGTATGAGTTTAATGCATGTGTGTATTTCCTTGCTTTTTTCCAGGAAAGTATCATTACACTGTCTACTTTTAGTAAACCTGGAAACAGGTCAATGGCAGCTCCTGTGTTGTCTGGAAACTTTGAAAGAAAATTTGGAAAAATAGAAAGTGTGAAATATCAGAATTTCCTGGAGTTCCCATTGAACTCCTACCAGATATTCTACAAGAAGACAATGTAATGATACTTTTCTGAAAAAGGCAAGGAAATTGACGCATGCCTTCATGCTTTATTTTGTACCAGAAAATAACATGTGCAGGTATAGCAATTTTTACCAAAATGTTATTTTCCAGCTGTACCTTAAAGGGGACCACCACCATGGTCACATGATCAGTCGTGTGAAGGCGGTGTGAAGGTAAGCTCCCAGTTGAAATAAAAGCACTGTCCTCCTTTGGTTTATGTGAAAAGTAGCTAATACCCCCATGTATTGGTCAGTTTGTGTGTCACACGACTAATCCCCACCATATGCTTCATTCAACATATTTTATGCTATTAAGCTGCATATAAAAACACTACTTTGCAGTAAAAACGCACTACTGGATGAACTAAGGTTAGGGTAATTAAATTAGTTGTTTCTCATTCTTGCCCGTGTGTGGCCCAATCCCCCTCCACCTTTTTTCTGCCATTTCTGAGAAAAAAAAACACCGTACACGCGCATCCATGGCGTGTGAAACTTAGAACTTCAAATCATAATCTTCCTATAGAAACAGGGAGATTCATAAAAAGACCAAGGTTAGAGAGAGTGTGTACCAAATGTAGCAGACTAGGAGATGAGTACCATTATATTTTAGAATGTAAACTTTTTGAAGATGACAGAAAAATACTTCTAGATAACTACTTCATTAGACAACCAAATATGTTAAAATTTAAAAGTTTGTTGTCAAATATTAAATATTCTGTGCAATTAAGTAAATTGATGAAGATTATTGGTGGTAGGGAATTAAACTAAACTGTATTATCATTGTATGTATATGTACTATTTTATGCTCACAAGTGTGGGTAGAAATAAAGAATAAAAGAAAAAAAATTACTTTTTATGGATCAGGATAATTGACAATATCGTGGTACTGATATATGATCAAATATACCAGTTAAGTAGGCTAAATTCAACATATAAATTCAACATAAACTCAGTTTATTTCCTTCAAAATTAGTTATTTGTTTTTACAGTTATTTTAAAGAAAAAAATCATCCCGTCCCTCATCATCATTTTAGATAGACAAAAAAGGTAATATAAAAACCGTCATTCCCTTATCAATTTTGAAAAATAGAAAAGAAACAACTAATTTAATTAATTAATTAATTACCCTGGCCTAACATAAAATACAAAGCCACTAGCTAGCTCATACAGTATATGTACTTACCTCTTGCAAATTGTAATTTATTGAATTCACAGTAAACCCATCAATTTAGAAAAAACAAAGAATATTGTTCTCATGGATCTATTATTCATGTTAAACTAACTATGAAAATATAAATATGAAATAATATGTTAGCTTGAAGTCATATATAAGATGAAAATATATGTTCATGCATTTGCATTTTTCCAAAGTAAGTAGATACAGGTGCAATATATAATTTATATGTATCTATGTCATCTGTCTATACATGCGCGTATATATAAACATACATTTGAACAAGATGGTTCTGGAAAGAAATGAGCGTGGCAGATTTGCTAAAAAGCCACATACACCACAAAAGCAAGACCAATTTGAAAGTAAGTTCATTATTCTCAAGGGTACACGTCAAGTGAAAGCTACATTGCTACAGGGTGGCCTATCATTCTGAGACAAATGTATTATCCAACGATTGTGATTACTGAAGCTAAAATATGATATCTTGAGCAGATGGAAATACATTCCCATGAGATATGTATATATAGTCAAAAGTGATAACTATTTATTGAGTGTAATGAAACGTATCCTTCGCTAACTGCTTTTGTTTGAGATAATTATCATGAAATATTTTTAAATTAATTTTTATGTGTGTCATTGATCCTAATCCACCCTGTAGTCTGGTGTTTGTAGAGCATTGCACCTCGTACAACTTATTCTCACAAATATCAAACCTCATTTACTAACTAATTTTTTGTGTGAATATGAAGAGTCCAAGCATTGCTTTTTTATGTTTACTGTATAGCTATATTTAGCCTTGATATCCATGATTTTTTAAAACAAAATCTCACCGTTAGATTTCGAGCTATTCATGTTTACTCATTTTTCTAATTGGAAAACAATGCAAATCTCATTTTTTCAAAGGAAAAAAATTGAAATTCTAAGACGGTGAAAAATCATTAAAAAAATACACAGATTCAGAATTCGGCAAGCATTTTCCCTTATTCCTCTCCGTTAAGAAGTTTTGTAAGGTTAAATTCATAGTTTATACAGACCTAGGATGAATATATTATAGATAGTACACAGAGAGTCCAAAAAATCATTCTCTCCTTACTGGTCATAGGATGACACGACAACACGAAGGTTGTTGATTAATGAGCTCCATCCTCCAGGCAAAAAAACAACAAAATGTGATGGGGTAAGCATATAAATAACTCAGTGCACGGCCTCTGATGTCATGCCTGAGTATCAGAATGAATATAAACAACATACTTTTTCCCAGTTTAATTTTCAATCATAAACACATCATACCTTGAAAATCCAAGATGTATAAAACTGATAAACAACCGCTATTTAGAAAATTGAGATAGGGAGGAACCATTTGACATACTACGAGAAAATAGAATTATTTGTATATTTGAGTATAAATATCTTTAAATATTTACACAATACAAATTGAAAGGGTTAAGTTTTTTTCAAATTGAATTCATCGTACTACTTACTATGTGAAAATTGCTATATTGGCCTGCCTTTAATTCATGAAAAACTTGATACAAATCTTGTTTGCACGCGACCACCAACCGAACAAGGCGTCCTTGAACCGAATGACCTTATTCATGTGCGCATTGTGTGACTTGTGTGCGTTTGGATTATAAACATACAGAGATTGTTATCTTGAAATGACAATTTTCTGTGTATGGTAATTTCATTTCCCGGGGTTCGGTAATGCCGTAATAAACTGTACTGAAATAGTTTCTTATGTTACGTCCATCTTTTCTTCATCCTGGGCACATCTCTAACAGCCTCGTGTGCAAATCTAGACCTTATACAAGACACTACACAGTATCAACTCAGTACGACTCGGGAACTTTTTAAACATCAGTTTATAAAATATCCCCAGGCCTTATTGTTCCCCAACGGCCAGTATTGATCAACATTGAATTGGTAACCAAATAGCCTATTTATAAAACGGCTAATAAAGACTGCATCACAGAAAAGGACTAGAAATATCAAATGGTACACACCCAGCATACGCAAACAGGCTTATTGGTTCACCGATTGGTTCACCGATCGTTCGATTTTATAGATGTATATTATTCAGGTATATGTAGGGCCTTACGTGTTAAGGTCAAGAAACAACAAGGAACCTGTTTATTAGTTTACTTACTTCTTAATTACATTATTTCATGATATAATTGGCTCTTATTATGTATGTGACCAATTTTTGACACTCAACAATTTGTGATTGCACTTCGTCAAATTCTGCTTCACAGAATCGAAGTTGGAGTCAACCAGACCAAAAGGAGTTTTTGAAGTTGCTGTTAATATAAACTAAAGAAAGATGGGGAAAGATCTTGGGGTAAGTGGAATTATTAGATTTTTAGGCCTTCTAGACTTACAGTTTGGATCATAAATAAATGAGTAGTCGATTTTCTATCACCGTTTCAAAACCATGGTGGTTTGAAAGCCCGTGTTTCCAATATTCTCTTGATACATATCCCCTAAATGTGTATATCTTACATTTCGCATACTCTCATCCACTGATGTATGGCCTCTTGAAAATTCTCTCATTTATGGTCCAAATTGTACCTGTTACTGTTTTTGATATATTTATGGTATCTTGATCTGTTCTTAGTTTATCCATCTTTGACAGCAATGGTATAGAATTAGTAAGTCTTTGTTGACAGGAATGTCCGTCTTCGTATCCGGCATTTTATTAAGGCAGATTTGCATGAGAAACTTTATGCAATTTTGAGAAGAATTTTCTAGTTATTTATACATGTACATTCTAAAGAAAGATTAACTCAAATAATAATCTGGATATACAAAGGCACCTTTTGTGCAAAAATGAAATATTTAGGCCGTGTTTGAAATGAATTATGTTCATCTGAAAAAATCAAATGGTCATCAAAATCGTAGAAAGTGTCCAGCAATAAAAAGGGAAATTACCTATTTTACTTTTGTTTCGGATTAATGAGTCGTGGCTATCAAGAGAGAATTCTCAGTTCGTTTTTTTAAAAATGGATTCGGTAAAACGGTAATGATCAATTCATAGCTCATACTTAGATATACAATTTAGTACTTTGCCTCGTTTAAAAGTTGTATTATACGTTGGTACAACATTAAATATTCAATTTCCTCAATACAAATTGACATATATATATATATACTTGTACTAATAATTGTCCAAGGCCTTTCCAATGTCAAGTTTAACTGGATAGATCCTATAGGTAAGGTTAATGCAAACACAGTCTACAACTTAGAACAGTTGAGTGATTACATGGAGGATGTCCAAAAGTTAGTTGTCAAATTTCCGCACTTCAGCTTCAACATGCGAGACATTGTTTGATTGATTCATGTCCAGAGAACAATGAGCTAAATCATGTTCTGTGTTTATTATGACCATGGTTGGTTGTTGAGATTTTAAATACACCAATCATTGTGATTTCTGTACAGTATCCTCAATAGGTCATTCAATTTTTAGTTAAAGGTAATTTATGGATTTTCAGGATCGCCCTTCAACATTGAACTTGTGTTGTTAAACATACCTTTCACGTTACAAATGGTGCTAGTTTACTTTAGCATGGATACATTCTACAGTATGTGTGGGCAGGAGGGGGTTTATAGTCCCACCCCTAACCAAAAGCTGGTTACGGGCATGTCATTAGACTTCACTTAAAATCACAGATTTAATTCAAAAGATCCGTAATATAAAAATCTTTCTGCATATAATGTTCATAAGGCAGTTACATTGTTTCATGGCATGATTCAACATAGTCTTGTCCTTTAACATTTTATTTGGGCGTAGCTGCATACTATGCCTATTTTACAATGCATTTACAGCATTGTGTGCAAATCTAACGTCATGTTATAAACATTATTTCGGGCCCTTTGATCAACAGGGGTAGATGCAAATGTATGCATACGTAATCGAAAATGCGAAATATTGTAATTTTATGTTCGCCCCATTGCGGAAACCCGCACGATTATTTCCACTGACATTACTTTTGAATGGGTGATTTAGTTTAGGTATGGAATATTTTACCAATTGTCATGTTTATGCACAGGGTCCCCATGTTACAAGGATATGCAAGTCAAGTATAAAAGCAAGTTTACAATGGCGTTTAACAATTATGTAATCCAAAGAGAATGTTTATGTTTCTTCTTTACCTTTGTTAGTGTAAAGGGAATATTGTATAACTGTCGTGCACTCTAAACCGGCTCCCACGCTCAATCACTACGTTCTATCTATGGATAATGATATTCAAGACAGCGCATCAGCTGGGGTTTGTTTATTTAGTGTATAACCAATAATTTCTGGTGAATCAAGGTGAGGATAGGTCCGAAGCTTGATGAAGCAAGATGCTCTAAACGTGCACACAGTGTAACTTGGACTTTTGTTATGATCGGCAGTATGCAAACATTTAAAGCCCACTCCATGGTCAGGAGCAGACCTGAGAATCAACAGCAGGGGGGGGGGGGGGGGGGGGGGGGGTGGGGTTGGCCCAATTTCTTAAAAACAGGCCCGAAATTGTTGAAAAATTATTAATTATTAATCATTAAGGCCAGTTAACAAAATTGCCCAGTTTATGTGGAGAGAAGCAGATTTTTGACCTTCACTTGTGGGCCAGCCCCACCCCCATATCCGCCACTGATGTTTATTTCTGATATATTTCAATCACATCCTATTTATAAATTAGTCAGCCAATGATTCCCGAAGTTTTGAAACGTTAGGTGGGATTAAAATATTTGATTCACCCCAAAACTTTTTTCTTTTCAAGCATTCATTTGTAAGAAAAATGAACCTTCGCATGTATGGTGTATGAGCACAATATTTTATTGAAAACAGAAAAGCGTATTCACCGGTACCGTAAGGTAATCACGATGACAGATCGATAAATAAAAAAGTTGTCAACCTAACTTACAGACTTAGGTCAAGACACTTTGATATGCGTTTGGTATTGTACACTTTACAGTACATGTATATTATAGATAGAAAGGATTATATGGGCGAGAAATCATTCAACCGTTACTCAGAATGAAAACTTACACAGTTATATTATTTATTTTCATTTTATCATTATAGTCTCACGCTGCGTGAAACAATAGTTCGATAAAAAAAAATTTCCTTGTCAGCATCGGGGAGGGGGGGGGGGGGGGTCGGCCAAAAAGTCTTTCAAATCATTCAGTTTTTCACCATTCTGAGCACTTTTTAAGTGATTTTGGCCATTTTTGGACCAAATTTGTTACAAGAGAACCCCCCCCTGGAAATTTTCAAAAAGTGAACCCCTCCCTTTGCAAATCCTGGCTACGGGCCTGCAAGACCGGTGTGAAAGAAATGATGGTCCCCTTTCTTATCGGCCCTTACTGGCCCTGATTGCGTATAAGATAATGAGGGAAAGAGTTGTATTTAGATCACCATATAAATCAATGGAGAGTATAATTTGATAGGACCTTCTACCCTTTTACACCTGTATAATACAGTATCATGTCAAATGCATTCATTTTGTAAATGTGCAAAGTGAACATGAAATAAGCCCAAACCATCAATGATGCTCATCGGACCATATGCCTGGGTCTACTTTGGCTTTGGTTTCATTTGATATTTAACGATGCTGAATTTATACGAGATTTGGAATTTAGGAAATAAATAATAAATTATCGATACAATTTAATCAGTTCAAAAGAGTTCTCTTCAATCTTTGTTTAGTCTACCCCGAGGGCAATTTACCCTGCGTGCAGAGTCTAGTTAAACTACAAAAGACGAAGCTCTCTTTTAAGAAGTGAAGTCAAACGAATGCAAAGGGTAAGGGCAATTTGTAGTCCACTATGAGATGGAGCAAAATCGAACTATCATGAATGGTTTCCTTAACTCTATACAGGCAAACATATCCAAAACTGATTTACTTAATTGCATATAATTACAGGTAACCCGTAACAACATCATACTCGTTTCCCAGTTTGATTTCCAATCCTGAACATCGAACACATAATACCTTGGAAATCCAAGATGTAACAACATCGCGATAAGTAACTCGATCTGGTATTGACATTAATTGACAATGATTTAAGGACTAATTAAAGTAAAGGCCAATTTAAACATAAAAATATATGTTATGGGAACACTAGGAAAGTATCGCTTCACACAGCACATCATAAATATTTTAGTTGCCAATCATGATATGTAATGAATAGCAAAGAGTTCATGTAGTGTCCAACAAACCATTGATAAATGGCCAATATACATTTGTATATTTGCTTTTTATTTATTTATTTATTTATTTTATTTTTTATTTTTTTTAAAAACTCTCAATTTTATAAGAGTAGTGGGAAAAAGGAGAGACCTAGACCACCTTTCCTGGGGGCCCATGGGGGCAGCAGGACAACGCCCCCATGTGCACGAAATCCCCGGGGTTTTTCTCCATTAATAAAACAGATTAAGTTTGGGTTCGTCCAGGGCTCGAGACTCAGGCCGCCAGAACTTGAGTCTAACGCTTTACCGCTGAGCTACCGCCGCATTGGTAATAGGAACAGTAATTTTATATGACTAATAGTTCACATCATTTAAACATGAGTAATATATTAACTTTCTACAACCCTCAATCTAATATGGATGTTCACTGCTATTTCATATTTTCTTTTTTTTCTTTTCTTTGATGATCTGATTTATATTAATCATGAAACAAACAAAACATTTTTTTTATAAATAAACACACAAATAGGATATATATTTATTTACATTATGATTCATATAAAAGCAAACAAATTAGTGCAATACAATACACAATATTTACAATGAGGAAATCTCAGATTCCTTAACCCATGAATCAAACTTTTTGGGCCAATATTGCCAATGCACTAAATACTCTTTTTGACCTCGTCTGATTCGTGTTTTAAGTATCTTTTCCACCTTCCAAATGTCATCTTCATTAGCTTGTACTCTCTGAAGCTCTGATTGGTAAAACGTACCCTTGATATCATCATTTTGAAAATCTTTCAAACGATATAATGGCAACCCCTGTCTGATAAAACGTTTGTCTACTTTGAAAACCTCCCCAGTCCAATGCTGGTCGTATTCCCTACTAAAAACATGTTTCGATTGGGTAATTCTAACCAAAGCTCCAATAGGAAATTTAAATATCTGTCTAGATTTGCTTTTAACAATAGCTGATGTAGGATAATACATCCGCCACCAAATGGTGAGTTCATCATCTTTGGATACATTTCTAGGAGCCATTTTTATTCCCCTGTGCCAAGTGGTATTATAACTTTTAACAAAGTTTTGTAAATTGTCTATAAATCTATAGTTCTGTTTGTACGTGATATATCTCATGAGTTTAGTTTTTAATGTCTTTATAA